GTTTGAGAATAGTTCTCGCTTCGTTTATGTTTTTTGTTACGACGGTTCGATGTCCTCCACGTTTTGCCCGCAGGCGATCCAACTTTTCCTTTTCTTCTCCCATGATAACTAATGAAACGACTCAATGCAATGATGACAAATGAAAACGACTCAAACGAATGCAAACCTCTGTCCCGCGTTGGGCGCCATGTTATGAACAGAAAAAATGGATGATTTATTGTCTTGTAACACGTGACTATACGCGCGCGTTATCCTCGCGTGTGCTGGTATAAAATGATTACAACAGCCTTGAATGCTATAACAAGACTGTTACAAGGCAAAGTTCTTCGCAAAGAAAAAGTCGTTGTCTGTGTAGGAAGCTGCACTGCTTAAACTTGGTTTTCCCCGCCAAAAACGAAACCCTTGGCCCAGTCTGCCTCGGTTGCGAAGCGTCGTTGTCGTTTGTTTCGTTGTCGATGCTTAAGGTCCCTTTTATGTCTGATAAAACGCCGCATATATTTACTTGGAGGAAAGCATTTGCAACGAAAACCACTGAACACAACTACAACACGTGTTAGGCAGAGAGTATTAAAAAGAGATCGCTTTGCTCGCTTTGCAGCGTACTTTTCATCCTTTTCCGCACTAAATGCATTTCACCATCTCCATGTAAAACGTATGAACTGTAACCGGAAATATAATTCCCTCACTCGCTGACTTTGACAATAGCAAAGGTTTTCCCTGACCTTGAAAAGTTTTTGTTTTCCCCTGACTTTTTCCTGGACGTGGCAATCCTCTAATAATAGGGTCAACCGGTTAATGCGGACGCTTTGGTGGGCATGTTCCTTTGATGTCCCGTGCGAAGTGTTGATTGGGTTCGACTGTAGTTTGGGCCAACAAGTAAGCCAAAGGGACCTAAAAGATTAACCTCTCCACTGGTAATATTGGCCAAAAAAATCACTTTTTTGTAAAATCTTAAGAAGTAATTATTACTATGCAAGAGTTATGCTAGAGTGGTTGCATTTAAATGGCAACACCATAGTATTACGGCATAACGCGGTCTGGGGAAAGAAGGGTTGAAGAAAAAATAACCGCAAATGAGGATCACTTTTCGAGAGCCAAGTCTGGAAGTAACAACAAACGTTTATTAAAATCCAGGTAAAACAATCTCGCCATCGCGAGTGTTTATGTCTAATGCTTGCTTACATTTAAGTGGTAAAAGATTTTACGCAAGAAAACTTGAGCTACTCCTCTCCCAGCAACCATTTCTCTTTCATTCCATTTCCAAATGAATTACTACCGGGAGGTATTACTACTAGGTCGATACCAAGTATACTACCTCCCTTTACAATTTCACCGTTGAATATTCATGTTAACCTGTTAATTGGTAGATACATTAAATTGAGTAAAAGTTAGGACATCCTTTTTCACTTACAAGCAACTCACAACTGACCTGCCCGTCAATGAGTACTCAGTAGCTCATTGGTTTAAGCATCCTACTTGTGTAGGCCCTATCAACACTAATGTGTTTTCGTTCAAAACATATACATTCAGATGCGTTTAGGCCTTTCGTTCACACTAATACGCTGAGCGTTTACATCGATAACCCATCGATTTGAAAACACACTTGACAGAGGATCAAAACGAAATTTATACATGTCGGATTAGTGTAGGCGGTCGAAAACGCATCAAAATGAAAACGATCCCCAAAAGTATGGCAGGCGCGTGTGTTTGTAGCATGCGCTGAGAGTTCAACTTACGTCACAACGCGCAATGCTATCGTTTTCTTACGTTTTTGTCTGGACAGTCGAAAACGCATCAAATCGGTAGTGTGGACGCGAATCGATCTATGCGTTTTCGATGACAACGAAAGCGAATACCTTTGAAAACACATTAGTGTCGACAAGGCGTTAGAGTCAATGGGCCAGTCTCGAATTGTTAAGATTCATGACTTGGCTACGAGGTTGTGGGATATATAACAAAAGAAGTCGAATCGAAATTTCATACATGAATAATTGATGTACAGTGGAACCCGCCTTACGACTACTCCGTTTATACCACCATCTGTTATTACGACCATTTTCTTTCGACCCAAACATAAAAATCAGTGACTCATTTTATTATTTTGAAGACCCCGCTAATGAAACCACCTCATTATTACGACCAGGAATTATGGCTCAACGGTAGTCCATTAGGGGGGTTCCACTGTATTTTATTTTATAGTGCCCCCAGCCTTGGCGCCAAGTATGAATTTGGTAACTGGAAACTGATCTATTCTAAGCTTTTTCTCCAGAAATATCATTCCATTTATTATTTACAATAGTCAGGACGTTAAATGAACTAAATTCGTTCTCTCCTTGTTGCTATTATATACGTGTAAAGAAAGCCAATATTAAAATATGTCACTTAAATATCTATTCTCATTCCCGTTATGTGGAACTAACATAACGCTGGACACACCACATTCATACCAAGGGAAGGATTGAGCTTTTTGTGCGAGGCCTTGAGTTGTTTGTATGATACTTTCTGCGGCGGGTGTTTCATGTTGACGTCGTCTTTCCAGTTACCTAACCCCGTCATGAAAATAACAAATTCAAATCACGTGCCCAAGCAAAGCCGAGTTTTCAATGGCGACGCAAACTGTACGAGCACAAGAATTTAAATCTTTTTTCACTGTAAGAACGGCCTAAAAGTAAGCATAAGCCAAGTGTAAACACAAGCACTAAAATTTTCTTTTTCTGGTTCTTATTTTTATGTCGTTGAGCTTGCGCAGTGTTCGTCTTACCTGTCACAAGACTTTGCTCATGCTTGAGTTAAGGTACGATAAAACGGACAACGAAAGGTGCAACATTGCTGCAAAACGAGTTTAATAGCGATATTGCGCGTTTTACCACCCACGAATCAAACCTGTCTTGTAACAAATCAGTTTGTTGCAGGTTGCAAAAAGTTGTTGCAGAAAGTAGGGAGTAGCTCTACTTTTTGCAACAAAATCTGTACATGTGGTGCGCTTTACCGGCCCAAGGCAAACTTGTTTTGCAGCAAGTGACCTAACGACCGTGTATAGCACGACTCCCGTGTAATTTTCTCCAATCAGAAGTCAGTATTACGCAACTTGCAACAACCTGATTTGTTTGAACGTGGGTGGTAAAACGCACAACATTCCTTTTCAACTTGTTTTGCAAAACAAGTTGCAAGTTTTTGTTGCCCGTTTTACCATAGCGTCACTCTCAGTAATTAAAACCAAGCTTAATAGCCTCTTTTTTCCACAGAAAACAGAAAATCATTAGTGAAATCAAGGGGATCTCGTTGAGCAGGTGAGTTAAACTTTTCGTATTAATACATCGTAAATAGTGGTGGGCGGGATCTTGAAAACAGATCTAACCCGGTTGCACTTCCTCACAAGACCTCGTTAGCTTGCAGTTTGCACCAAAAAAATTTACCTTGCAGACTTTGGCTAACAAATGCTTTTTTGCAATTAAAGATTCCTAGCATTTCTAAGGACCATGTTCTGATGACCTTACCAGTTTCATGATAACTACAGTAGAATTGCCCTATCTGATTGGCTTGGCTATAGGTATACAGAAAATCAGAATTAGGGAGCTTCAAGCAACGACGAAGGCGTGCTCAACGTCCACGAGAAGGCAAAAAAGCAATAGGTTTAGATCGGCAAAACAACAACTTTGCACGTGCATCACGATTTTTTGTACATTTCTTTCCTGTCGTTGCACGACTAAGACGTGAAACTTCCTAATTTCACGTTTTATGGAGGACGTGAACACGAGACAACGATGTCCTTTTTCTTAGAACTTAGATACAGTCCTTTAGAATTCAACTCTCGAAAAAGTCGCCAACATTTGACACGTGAGAAGAGTTGGAATAAGAGCGATGAACTTTGAATTCACTTTTTGGGTGACGCTTTCGTGGACGTTGCCGTCGTCATTGCTTAAGCTCCCTAATAATAGGTCACTGTAACTGGAAAGTGAGCATCATAGGACAGTTGTGCTTGTATGAATCCTCTTTTTTCCGTCTAAGCAAAATCTGTTGGGCTTCTTTTCATTTCATTTGTCAAGACGATGAAACCGTTACTTTTTTCAGAGTTCTTTTTATCTTTATAGTTAATTGGCAACAGAACTTCGTGTTTAATTTGATTTGTTTGTTAACAGAGCGGATTCCAGTAAGTCCTATTACAATTACTGTCGTGAGGAATTCCCGCAGATGTGCAATAAATAGTAAAGGCCTCTCTAATGTTCTAATTATGTTCTCAGGTTTTTTAAAATGCTGGGTACGCTAACATTGACAAGTTTTTAAGTGCACTGTTTCCCAAGATGTTGGCCACCACTTTGCATACATATTGGATCACTGAGTTAAATGACAAATTAGTTCATGACTAGCCTTTCGGGAAACCAGGTAATTTGTTTTCCTCAAATAAAAATGAGATTATCGGGAAACTAAATGAACGTTTCTCCCGGGATTAGTCGTTAAGGTTAGGTTGCGTTTCTTTGGGAAGATCCAAATCCAGATTCTTGAATCTTTACTAAAATCTAACAATAATTTTGAATTCCAAAGATTTACTTTTCGACTAGATTCATTAGATCAAATCTTAATCCGGATTTTCAACATTATAATTCGTGCGTTTCTTTGGAAACAGTTACCTGACAAGCAGTTTATTCCCGTGCAAATATGAGGCTGGGTTCGAGGCAAGATACCTGGGTTTGCTTTTAACTAAAATGGGTACCCTAGAATCAGGGTGTTATCTTCACTTAAAATAATACTGATGAAAATAAGTCTGATAACTGAAAGCGAATGATAAAAAACACCAACTAAGTAAGGCTTAAAGGGCCTTTGTCACGAGGATATTTTTCTTTGGGTCAATTCTGTGCTACACTCATTACAGTCTTGAAAACGTTGGCCCAACCTTCTAAAATTTTAATCCAATCCAACTAGACCATTATTTTGCAATTCGATCTTAGCTTTTCAAAACGTAGCAAATAGCTTGACACCCGCATTATTTGCTTTATAATCACATCCCTAACCCAATAAACAGTCAAGCGCTAACTGCTGACACCGGTTTTTCTAACATACTTTTCATGGCATTCACCGCATTTCTTGAAAGCTAACAGTTTTTGAAACATTGCTTAACTCAACTCACTACCTCGGTATGCTTAACCCTACACAACTCTTTTTTGTATTCAACTCTTTTTTTGCGTGTCTGGTTTTCTCAATTTTTACAATTTTTGGGGTGAATTGCCCACTAAATGCTTCTCTACCAGGAAAATTGCGTCGTGTAATTTTGAGGTGTCCAACTTGATTTGGGGGTATTTATTCTAGCCACTGCCAACATACCTTGAACCGGCGAAAGAATCAATTTTTGGATTTTTTATTTGTTTGTTTGTTTTTTCGTTGTAGCGAATCCTAAGAACCTAATTTTGGATTCTCCCAAAGGAAAGCACGTCTATTGTTATCTATTTTGTTAACTTCCAATCCTAAAAACAACCATCCTTTACCGTTGCCGCTCAACATCGTTTTATACATAGCTTCTACAAACTTTTGACTTTTGATGGGTTTCCTAGGTTTTAATGCACGATCAATCGAATTCTCGCGGTTGCTTTGAAAGAAAAGTCGTTAATTTGAAAGGTTTCATATCATTTCTATGGCTCTGAAACTGTCCGACCCTGCAAAACATCATGGATGTTGGCTCTACCTTTTACTGAAGTCCATCAAAATGCTCAAAAAGTCGTGGAAACCGTTTCAAAAATTGTTCTACGTAGACCAGATAATGACGGGTTCTTAGTAACCTGTCCTTTGCGTAAATGCTGGGCTCATGTCGACATTGGGTATAAACAAACTCTACTGCGAATCACGGGCAGACGTTCGATGGGAAAAGACGAACAAGATTTACATATAAAAAACTGGATGAGATATATAACATAACGGCGAGGTTAATTTGAGTCTTACTTCCATCCAACTGTAAATTCGTATCACAAATTTATTTTATAAGAACAGCCAACAAGGGGTGTTACTCTTGTCCTTAAATTTAAGGTCATATTTAATACACGGACGAAAAGGAAAATAATTGTAATCCACCTCAGATGACAATAGTTAACCAATATATACTGTTCATAATTCTACCCGTTGCCTCATGTTTCTTCATGTTTCGCCTTTATCGACCCATCGTCAGTGTTTTGACTTTCTGAGAGATAACCTGCGGGAGAGAACTGAGTTAGATTGGTCTGCTTCATTAATATGAGGAGATGGCACTAATTTATGGTTAGCATTGTATGGCAGTGATTTAGAACATTGCAAGATTCCGATCACATAAGTTCTCGCTCTACCACTGAGCCATCTAGAAAGTACATTGGACTGATTACAGATAATAATAAATTCATCGCTCGCTAATTATGTATACGGTGGGCAGTATAACCGTTGGTTTGTTTGACTTGCCTTTCGGAGTAATCAACTGTTGTTTTCCTCAACTGCATGAAACTGACCAAACTTTGCAGTGCAGTACACTTCAAGTAAACACAATTTTTTTGTAGAGTTAAATATGGAGTGACCTTCAATCGGCGACAAAATTGTTGAGACAATGTCTTCAGATGGGCACTTCAGAGAACAAAACAATCCACACCCCTTCTCTCCACTGAACCATTCAAAGTTAGGGTGTTTGTTGTTTATTACATGTAGCTCGAACAGGGGCACAACATTGCATAGAGGGGTTGGGGGACTACCTTTTTCTTGTTTGAAGTAGGCAAAATTTTAGTAAGGCCCTTTTATGGCAAGGTTTCTCAACTAATTTTGTCGTTGATTGTTGGTTTTCATTCGGACCTTCGTGTAATAAGCCTGAATTTCCGACCACTTTTCCTTCAGCTGCCATTTATTTTGCTATCGTCATCGAACATTTGTTATTTGTTTATGTAATCGTGTAGGTTTGTTTCCCCATGAAAATGTCAAATTGAATCTGCTCGTGGCAAGCCAGTACGCTCGAGTATTCAAGCTTACATTAAGCATAATTTACTAACTTAACTTTCCAGCAAGCAAAGCACAACTTACTTGCACTGGCCTTGCAAATGTACTTGAACCTAAACGTACAGGGGTAATCGTTCCATTTTCCATCAGATTTCAATACGGCACAGTTTTCACATTTTATACAGTCGTTCCTGGATGTATCCTTGCTTATTCTATAAGAGCCTCCATTGTTGGGATCACCCGTTGCCCAATTCTGGTACCTGATTGGTGTTCTAAAGGGCGTAAAAGAAAATATTAGCTTCAAAGCACCCACAATCTTTGACTCCATTGAGCATTTAGGGCCTGTTTACATGGAGGTAGGGGACCCAAGATCATGTAAACGTGATCAAGGTAAAATTAGAGATTATATAAACAGGCGAGTTCCCTCACCTACCTAAGGTCTTCCACTTCAATGTAAACAGGCCCTTACGTCTAGTTCTAAAAATGTTTTCCCGCAGGCAGATCTTGGAAGTATGATAACAACAGACTTTATTTACGATACTTGCCATCTTTCTTCGCTTCAGGACTGATAGGATAAAAGCGTCACCTGGTTCTTCAACAAGGAAAATTCCCTCCGTCTCTTAAGTGTCGATTAGTCATTTTCGACTTGTATGTTTATTTTTTTCAAATTCAAACCACCGAATGTGCTTTTAAGGGAATTCGCCTTTTGTCTTTCATAGACTATGCATACACATGCACGTCGATAGGACGCGATCTGAAATAAATAGTTCCCCGGGTTAACAACACCACTTAGGTTGAATTGGAAAAAAACAAGCTAAGATGGTCTGTAGAACGTTTTCACTCACGTGATTCAACTCCCACAGGACTGGTTTGGAACACCAACAAGGCCGCCGTTTTATTGTTTTGGAACACCAATAGGGAGCTTAATAAGCAAAGACGTTTTAGGGCGACGCACGTCAACCGGAAGTGTGCTTTTTGAATTTTCGAGCAAATTGTTTTATGAGAGCAAAGGGACCTAACAATACAAATTTGGTAGGGAAAAGACCCAACTTCCGGTTGGCGTGCGTCTTCTGCTTACGCTCCCTAACATGGCAGACGTGACGTCATGTGAAAACGCTCAGTGCACGTACTGCTTGTTTAAATTGCCCACATGACAAACAAAATACCTGTCACTCCAAGTCCAGGCGCCCTCCCGTTCGAGATCGTTGTATCCAATCCACATGAATGACCTGGCTAGAAGATGCTTAGTCACAAACTCTTGTTCTTGGGCATTAGCGATACTGAGCAGTTCAGAATTCGAGTTGATGCAGTCTTTCCTTGCCAGGTCCCAGGTGAGCTTGTTGAGTCTCACCAAATAGCAATACACCTTATCTGTTCCATCAATCACATGAGATACCCAACCACGGGGACACACCGCTACAAACGCAATGGTAGAAAGTATAAATGAGTGAAATATAATGACTTCCAAAACAGCCACCTGGTAATGATCAAGCTAATACAGCAATTTCTCTGTTTTGTTAGGCTACAAAACGCTTTTCCCCGCAAAGAATGTTTTTATAACCGCCCATAGAATGCACGAACCTACAGAAAAGCACTTAACAAAATAAAACGTCCTAAACCCATTTTGAAGGAGGATTCAAACAATAATAAGATTTGAGAACGATAGCAAAGAAAAGATTACAATTTCACTTGTTAATCCGCCCCTTCTCGAGAATTTCGTTGGTATTTAGATTCAGGGGAGATTCTTTGCAAGGATGTTCGCTGGAAAACTAGCTATTTCGAAACATATTGGTTTGTGAAGTTCTCTCACATTTTGGTGTTTAAACCAATTGTAATTTTGGTACTGACAATAGTGAAGATAGTGTTAAACACGAACATTGCTTTTGCGCCCCCATAGTTGACTGCAGGCTCAACTGAAAAAAAGAACGATAGTTACAATAGAATGAATGATGGCTCTATTAGACGACAGAATGGTTTTACTTAACATCACGAAAAAAAAGTAGAGGAAGACTTCGAGCTAGCCCGCAAGCGAGAATGAGGTTGGAGAAGGGAAAGAGAGATCTCCTCTTTCCTTCCCTTTCCTACCCCCATATCCTCGGGAGAGCTTGCTCGCAAGGTTCACATGGCCAGTGTTTAACCCGGTTTTAGTAACAAGAAGCACCTAAGTGGGGTAAAGTTTCTTGTCTAATACAACAACGCGTTCGAAAGGCTCTAACCCCGCGCCGGACTCAACGAATCTTATTACGACGCGATAATAACTGCTCGACCATGTCACCACACTTGTACAATAAGGGAACCTTACAGCATTGTTAGTAGAGGGGACTGGTATCCTACTTTTTAAAATAACTATGCTTGTAGCTAGTTATTTACGTGGTACAAAACTGCCATACTGTAAAGCAGGAGACGCACTGGGAGCCGAAGAAATTAAACGATGAGAGCTCTTTGGTTCTCTCTTCTCTCAATGCCTTTCTTCCTCTCCAGCATGGCAATTTGTAAAACGTGAATGCCTATATCATTTTGTCTAGATATAATTGTCTCACGTTTTGTAGGAGGCTCTGGGGTGCTGGTTGCCACACTCCTCCAAGTCATAAAAAACCCCCGCCTCTCGTACGAGTCGTCTGAGTGAAACCGGATGCGCGCCTGGTTGGAGATCGTTGTGAAATTTTCCCCTGAAATATATAATTCACATGGTAAGTTCTAACGGTGATGGTTAGCTAAATTCCACGGCTCACGAAACACAGCAGACGAACGGTACCACACCGCGATGGAGGAAGACGCAGACGATCAGGGTAAGTTCTTCCTAATGCAAAGCAATAATTTCGCTCTTGTACGCAGGAAGCGCTGGGAAGTTTCTTGGCCAAACGTGGGAGCGCTTGTTAAATGTCTACATATTTCCTAGGAAATGGTCAGGTGGTGTTGGGAACCTTAAAACGTTCTAACAAGTTGTTCAAAAGAACTCTCCCGCGCGCCACACCTAGAGGTAAACTAAGGCTACGTTGGCATGGCAGCGTACGAATTTTCGACCGGTTAAAAAAAATTGTACGGAACACTTCCCTCATTTGGAACCGTTCGAAATTTTCACTCTGTTTAACGGAAATGACCAACCAGGCTGAATTTAACTGTTGTTAGCGGTTTAACCATCTACCCATGCGCAGTGCTACTTTAGCAAATCCAAAATGGCTGAGTTGACACGCATTCATGCAACCACGCCTCTGCCGTACAAAAATTTCGACAGTCACAGTCATGGCGTTCGCATGGCGCCGGCCTCGATTTTTTACCCTTAATTCTTAAACGGCTAGGCGTCTAAATTTTCGTACGGTAAAGGTGGTTCCATGTGAAAGAAACACCTAAACGTACGAATTTGCAACCAGTCGAAAATTCCTCCTTCCAGTGCCGTGTAATGAAGGCCTTACAGAAACTGATTAGAAGGAGTAGAAACTGTAGGATTGCGCATTAGTAACACACAAATAAAAATGTTATTACCCCATGCACTACCGACTCCTATAATAGTGAGAAGTGATTTGCTACTTATTCCAAATATATTGTTGACATTTTATGTTTTATTACCTGTTCTTCCACAGCGTCGTCCAAAGGATGGTGAATTCCTCGAGTTTCCATCTCTTATTTCGACGTAATCATACCCACAACCTTCACCAACTTTATGAATATCGAATCTCTTGAATTCGAGCTCAATGTAATGGCCTTTAGGAGCGGAGATCACCCAGATGCAGTCTGTATTTGGAGGGTAAAAGCGTGGATACCCAGGGCTAACCAGAGTTCCATTTGGTTTGACGATAATACCACTGCACCCTGTATCAAACAACCAGATTTGTTAGCGTGTTTCAGATCGAGAACAAGCATGAGGCCGCGATCGCGGAACGAGGGCGGAAGCCCAAGTGGCAAAGAAAACATCCTCCGACCTAATCTATCTTGAGAATCATTCATAAAGTGTTTCTTACCTACAGTCGGAGTCGGAGTAGGAACAGCAGTGGTGTCCCATCTAGCACTAAACCCTTTGTAAGGTGTTCCTTCATCAGAGTGGAACTTTACTAACAGGTAGTTTGAGCTTGAACGGACAAGTGGCGGTACACTAGATCCGCAGAATTTTCCAATAAGCCTGGACTTGTACGTTTGGCCATCATAAACGGACACAGAGTTATTACATGGTCGTGAACCTAAGGGTGAAACAAGATTAGCTTCAAATTCAAACTCCCCAACGCCATATCTTCCGGAGATAATCATTGCGCTAGAATGTGTTTTTGAACGCAAAGGTTCCGGTAGTGATAAATGTTATATATGATGGACTAAGGGGTCTATGAGAGGGAGATATCTATCAACAGAAGATTCTTAACCTACCTCCAACATCAAAAGACAAAAACTCCAAGTTAATAGTTCGTCCAGAAGTTGTTCCAATGATCCACTCACAATCCATATGGTCAGAGTTCCCATTGGGAAAGTGAGGAGTAGTGAACCTGCCACGAGATCCGGCTAACATACTGCCACAAGCTGTGTACATATCAATTAAAAATAAGCTTAGAGTTACATGATTTGAACCTGAATTCTTACAATTTTGAGCTATGAACGAACTGATGTTGTAATGAAAGGAGTGATAAAAGATCTGAAGTAGTAAGTAGAGGGTCATAGTTTTTCTTTCGAGCGGCCTGTCACTGAATGGGAAAGAAACATCTTTCTTATGTATTCCGCAGCCTTAAAATTTACAATCACATTTCTATCATTACGCATAAGCACATGTAGACATTCATGTCTTAGCAGTGTGTAGGATGTTTGTCACGTGAACCTAGTTTAGTGGCCTTAGCGCACACGAGTCTTCTGTTAGCTTAGTATTAAAACATCTCAACTAGTAACCAGAAAGTAATAGGTTCGACTGCTGTTGGCAAAATCGGATTTTTTCTTCCGAGCCACCCGTGTCAGAAACTCATAGAACAATTTTCCCAAGAGTTTCTGTTTTCATCCACGTAGATTGTACACCCTCTCTATAGCGTTTACACATGACGACAGAGCAGCCATATTGGTGTTCCAAATCAATGAAACGGCAGCCATATTGGTGTTCCAAACCAATCCTAAGGGAGTTAAACCTTTTCTTACGTAAACACTTTCTTTTGTTCCAACAGATTCGCATAGATGCGGGCCTCATAGTGAAAACGCTCTATTTCGCGTCCAAGCTTTACACTTACTAACCTTTGTTGTATACATCCAGGGTCTCCAGTCTTGGTATTTTGTTTTAAAATATCAATCAAGTAGAATTCCAATACTACCTAAGCTGCTATGACCATTGTACTTGTGGTAATGACCATTTAGGCTATTGCAAATCAATCCCGAAAAGACTCAGGTTTTAGTGGCAGGGTATATCTTCATTTAGAAATATTTTCCCTCAGTTCACATTTTTACTTACAGATTTGGCATTTTTTCAGGTTGCAACTTCTCTCGTCCAGGTCCCGTCCCTGACACTGTAGCCCTCCGTTAAGTGGTTTAGGATTATCACACAGACGCGTCCTTTGCTGAGTGCCGTTTCCACATCTCTTGCTACAGGAATCCCACGC